TCACTTTGTCAAGAACTACTGCTCGCCCACAGAAATGAGCGAAAGCGGTTGGTAGGTAGTTAAAAACAAAAATTTTTTTTTTTTTTTTTTTTTTTTTTTTAATTTTCAATACGTATTTTTCATTTATTTTTTTTTATCAGAATAGTACAATATTACCATGGTAACCTTGTATTATTGTGGGGGAGGATTAGGGGTTTTTTTTTTTCACACTTTGCTTTGCAGGAGAGATAAAAGATAATTTCTCCTGCAATGCAAAGCTTGCTATCATGAACTGTCGTGAATGAGTTAGGTTTTTGACAGCTCAAGATAGCGATCTGTGATTGGCTGGAGCTGGTCACATGGTACAGGGTGCTGTGACTGGCCCCATGTATCATGTGACAGCTGTGGGACAATCACAGCTCACTAAGAAAAGCAGAGTTGTTATGAATGAGATTGATTCATAACAGCTTTGCTTACATTGTGATCACATAGCGATCCCATGATCATTGGGTCCCATTCCCTGGGATCTTCATTCCACTGGACTGCCCATTGCAGTCATGGAGGGGGGGGGGGGGAGTGTCAGTACAGCCAGAGCAACGTGCGGGTACGTTGCTTTGCCTGTAGCTGTCGCCAGGCCGCAGTACATTGTGGGCGGGCGGGAAGTGGTTAAAGTGGCTGTAAAGTCCAGACATGAAATATGAACAATGCATAACCCTCAATCCAGAGCACTAAGTGTAATTTCTGTCCCCTACCTTGGTCTTCTGTTATCTGCACGCGTCACTTCTGATAAGTTTTCCTGACACCAAGAAAAAAATTGTGACAGGGGAAGCAGCTTCAGCACACAGCCTGTGGTTGACAGCCTCAGGTCTGTTCCTGTGTATTGTGTAAATAGAAGCTGTGTCCCTTCCCTCCAATCAACTTTCTACTCACTGAGCTCTGCAGGGTAACTTCAACTCCCAACCCCCTGCTTTCTGAAAGCTCAGCAAAGCTGTATACAATGTTTCACCATGAACAGCTGATGAGAAGAGAAGAGAAAAAAAAGAGAAGAGAAAAAAAAAAAGAAGAAGAGGGAAGAGAAAGAAAAAAAAAAGAGAAGAGAAAAGAGAAGAGGGAAGAGAAAAAAAAAGAAGAGAAAAGAGAAAAGAGGGAAGAGAAAAAAGAGAAGAGAAAAGGGAAAAGAGGGAAGAGAAAAAAGAGAAGAGAAAAGAGGGAAGAGAAAAAAGAGAAGAGAAAAGAGGGAAGAGAAAAAGGAGAAGAGAAAAGAGGGAAGAGAAAAAAGAGAAGAGAAAAAGAGGGAAGAGAAAAAAGAGAAGAGAAAAGAGGGAAGAGAGAAGAGAGAAGAGAAGAGAAAGAAAAAGAGAAGAGAAAAGAGAAGAGAAAAGAGAAAAAAAAAAGGGAAGAGAAAAGAGAAAAAAGGGAAGAGAAAAAGGGAAGAGAAAAAGGGAAGAGAAAAAGGGAAGAGAAGGCAACAAATACACAGGTATAACTTATGTAGAAGGATTTGTTTCATATCTGTGTATCATCTGAGACCAATCACTTCACTGGGTATATGTAAGGGTTTACAACCAAATTCTCAAAAACACTAATATTAAAGCGCCTAAAAAAAAAAAAAAAAATTAATTGATTAAAAAGAAAAATGTGATGCAACATTACACTCTCTGGAACTAAGTCTTATCAAATGTAGGGACCTTTTCAAAGCCACTTCAACTTTAAGGTCATATTATATATATATGTATATATATATATATATATATATGTATATCCGAATGGGTGCCGTTGAAAACAATGGGCTGTGACTTGTCATGTGACTGTGTCCAACATCGCACGACAAGTCACAGAAGTGTGAATGGAGCCTTATTTTCAGCTTCCTTTAAACCATTTACCACTGACAGGGTGCTTGCAATGGCCAGTTTTTTATTAATTTCTGTAAAACTTATCCCAAAAGAAAAAAAAAAAAAATAATAATTTGCTGTAACTGCTTCAAAAGTGTTAAGCTGGAGTTCAGCTTTACTTTTTTTACTCAAGTCTATCTAAACCTGCTAGACCATCTAACACATCTAACATTTGCCCTCTCTTGACAATTCTGCTGTCCAAAGGCGTCTCCATTGCTCTTCCATCCAGAATGCAGACATTCTAAGACAGGAAGTGTGTTACTGGCTGGATCATTGGATGAAAAAAGGAAACAAAAACAGTGCAGACTCCACATATAAAATGACACTAAATTCAAATTTTTTACAAAATAAAATAAATGCAATATGTCTAAATATAGGTAGAATATACCATCCCTATCCCTTTGTTTCACCTCTCAAATGCAAGCTTTTTCTGTTATTCTCAGACGTCCTGTTCTAGGATGGCTATGTTTGTTCTCCATGCCCCCCTTGTGTATGTGAACCCTCTCTTGCTCGCCCTAAAGATGAACTACACATCTCCGTGCAGACACTTTCGGCTCTATGGCAATTGTAGTACAGAGCGCAGCATGTGACCAGAAATAACGGCACTGATCGCTCTTGATTGATGTTTAGTGTCACTTTAGGGATCGGTAAGCTACAATATAGTACATATTTGTTCTTGGGTTTAATATCTCTAATTTGCAATGATTACATTTGGGTATGTCCACCATTGTAGGACATTAAAGCCGGCTATGCATCAGTAGAATTTTGCATGGAAATTCTGAAAAATATTCATTAGAGCATTCGATTGTATCGAGTCAACTAATATCACTCAAAGTCCTTAACATTTTTCCCAGTCCTGCTATTTGAATGAAGTCCCAGACTTATTAAACAGGTCTGTTTTGCCCCTAGCACATGTGTATTACAATATGTATGTTTTTTTTTTCTCCCCGAATGAAAACCATATTCAGGAGATAGGATATGCACAAAATTTTGTTTATTTGAATTTTCTAGTCACTACAGTTGAAAACAATCACTGATTTTCATGAACTATTAGTAAACAATAAGCATTTGTCCAGGGGCGGACTGACAACTCAGGGAGCCCCCAGGCAATAGGGGATCATGGGGCCCTTGTATCCTTGCCCAAACTCAAAAAAAGCCTATGAAAAAGGTACCGGGGCATCTCATGGGACCCCCTTACTGACCCCGGGCCCTCGGGCAGTTGCCCGAGTTTCCAAATGGTCAGTCCGCCCCCTGCATTTGCCTCTAGCACATTTTTGCCCATTATCTTTGCTGCTGGCCAATGTTACACTGCTGAATCCTCTGCAGTACCCCAATTCTTGTATTAAAGCACCAATCTATGCTTTTTTATTTCTGGTAAATTTAAACCTAGCTTAACCATTTAAAATTTTCCTGCTACTGGCCAACTTCACACTACTGAATCATTGGCAGTATCCTAATTCTTGTAGTAAAGCAACAGTCTGTGCTCTTTATCTCTACTACTTTTGAGCCTAGTCTTGCTATTTCTAATTTTCCTGCTGCTGGCCAGCTTTACAAGGCTATATCATCACTCTTAATGAGTGATAGAAATTGTCCAGTGGCAGAAAAGATTTGCATCAGCGATTACAGGGACAGCCTAAAACTATTGGCCAATTTCTACCCATTAGTCAAAACAAGCCTTATTACCAATTGATGAAAGACCATGCATCACTGCTAAAACTACCTGGAAAAAAAAGCCTATTTTACAAAACTGGAATTAATTAAGTTTGGAGTGCTGCCTCTTTATGCAAGCCAAACAAATTGTGAAAGTGATCAAAAATTTCACACCCAAATAGTCACATGGTTTCATAACACCACACACAGATTAAAGTAGGACTGGAGGCAAAACTCCCCCCCCCCCCCCCCCCATTTCGGATAGAGTAAGGAGAGCTATAACCATGTTGGTTTCTTTTTGCCACCTATGTCCCATTGGAGAGATTTCTCTTCACTTTCTGTCCCATTGGCAAAATAGGAAATGAGTGGAAATCCCTCTAAATGAGGGAATCCATGATTAGCACCAGGACTAGTGTCTCCATTGGAATATTTCCCCTCTATTTTTTGCTCTGATGACAACTCAAAATATGGTATTTTTTCCCCTTTGACAATAAACTTGAGAATAACAGGGTGAATCTCCCTAGCAGGGACACAGGCAGTGGTGGGAGCCTAATGGGTATTTCAATCCATCTCCACTTTATCTAAAACAAAAAAAAGGAAGGGCATCTCCCAAGCATGTTGTTGAAAGGATTTGTGCATTTTTAATGTTGCCCTCAAAAACCTCTTGAAAATGTCCTTCAAAATTTTATTTGCATTGGTACATGTCCCTGATGGCATTGTCCAGCTCCACCCATGCTGTTTTTGACAGTGGTTTGCCTATTAAACCCTAAAATGGCCAGAATTAACAAGATTTACAGTTGCAAGAAAAAGTATGTGAACCCCTTGGGATTATGTGGCGTTTTGCATGAATTGGGCATAAAATGTGCTCTGTCTTACCGTGGACACATGAACATCAAGGCTTTTGGAGATACTTTTGTAACCCTTTGCAGCTTCATGCAAGTCAACAAATTCTTGATCGTAGGTCTTCTGAGAGCTCTTTTTTGCGAGGCATGGTTCACATCAGACAGTGCTTCTTGAAACCAGTAAACCCAAAACAGGTGTGTTTTTTTTTTTAAGGGCAGGACAGCTGTCAGCAACACATCCAATATCATCACACTGATTGGAGTCAAGGTTGGCTCACTCCTGGCTCCAATTAGCTCTGGGAGACATCATTAAGCTAGGGCCTCACATACTTTTTCCTCCCTACACTGTGAATGTTTACATGTTATGTGCAATTAAACCATGGCAACATCTAATGTTTGTGTAGTATTATGTTCAGCAGACTGTGTTCTTCTATTGTTGTGACTTAGATGACGTTCAGAGCACATTTTATGCCCAATTCATGCAAAACTCCACGTAATCCCAAGGGGTTTACATACTTTTTCTTGCAACTGTACATCCTATAGACTTCAGTTGGATTTGCTAATCCCTCTGTGAATCAAGCATGCTCTTCGCTATAAAGAATTAAAATTTAAAAAGAAATAATTAAAAAAACAATACCTGAATCTGCCAGGTAATCATAATCGTACCCCAGGTCTCTTGATTGGACAAAAAACTTTCCATTCGTAAACAATGGAATAAATGGAACCATGTTGTATTCCCGATTGTGTCCAACTGGTGCATTGACTTCTGGATAAACATCTAGTGAGGGCTGATGTCTTCTAAGCCATTGTTCAAAGAGGCTAAGGAAGTAAAATACAGATATAACTGTTACAAAGCAATGGATGAATGGCCCATGATATATTCAGGGTTTAAATAGTCAGAGGTTAATAGAACAAAGGAATACACATTGTTCTTAAGACTTCATAGGAATCCATCATTTGTACGTAAGAATCCAATAGTGGCCAAGCTGAACTATGAAGAGCTGGTGGGGAACACTTAACCCTGGTAAGTACTATGTAGTGGATAATTTAGCTTGCTTAAGCTGTGTAGCCCCAAGCAATTGCCATGTCTGCTTTGTTTTTATTCCTGTCTACATGCTCATTGCTCTGGGCTAATTTTCTGATTGCACCATAGGTGGACAATGCTGTGTAATGTGACAGCTTTGCCACAAGTAGTCTCCTTCAGAGGCCCTTGTGACAGGTGACAATGCAGGAGCACAGTTGGTAGACAGCTGTCCTTGTTCAATCCCTTTCAGTTATGGGGCGACCATTGTGGAAGGATGCTCAGATATTTTAGGGAAAGCTGCAGATTTGTAAAGCATGAAAACAATTTTGAAAGTTGCAAATTATGAGGATTTAGATCAACGTTAAGCTGACCTAAGTGACTTAACGTAACTCAAAATGAATACTTTGGGTCCCCTTATTCAGACACAAAGGGTGACAACATTCAGACTTTGTTTTCCAATACTCCTGTGTTGTCATCCACTCACACGAGTCTCTGAAGACCGCCACTTCAGTACACATTGCACACTCTGGTCTATTGTGGCCACTATCAGGTGACCCTCCCCGAGAATTCACATCTTGGGGGCGCATGTGGACAGGAACTTGCGGTAGGGCAAGAATTCAACAGTACTAAAATGCAACAAAAGGTGTGTGTGTGCCATAGCTTTATGGCTAGCCCCCCAAACACAAAGAAAAAAAGCAGGTGAGGCCTCATCTCCCTTTGATCTTCTTGTTTATGTAATGAATAGTTAGTAATTACAAAAAAAACACTGTTTCTCAAGTTGTTAACCCAAAATTTGGGAAAGCTGTGTGTCCAATCAGACACAGGCACCCCCAAGATGGCCATTAGAAGCCCACTGGAAAATACTGGGTGGTCCTTGGCAAGGTTCTCCTAGCCCCAGAGGTAACCAGCAATCATGTGATCACTGCATTTATTTCTGGCAGCTAATGCTGAAGTGAGCAATCTGCAGACCACCACCTTGCTCCCGCTGTTCCACCCACTCAAGCGGTGAGTCCAATTTTTGTGTCCAGCGTTTAACACCCCCTCTAAACAAACCTTTACCTTTTACAAGTTAACAGAACCCCCTTTTCAATAACTAATGTACCAGGCCAGGTGACCATGTCCAAAACTACCCCTTTCATACAACAGTTGGCCAGACTCTTGGCTGAGAGGTCACCAATGAATAGATGTGTAGAGCTGGATTTTGGCATAATCGCATTTTTACGTCTATATAAATCCAAGGTGTTGACTCGACCTCCGAAGAAAAAAAATCTACTTTTTCTGTAAATTGTTTTTTCCTTAAACCACAATGTATTTGTAGTCCAAGAACTGCTCCCAGCAGAACCTCTTTCCTTGCAGACTTGCTGCCGGTAAATCCAACTTCACCTACAAATCATTGTTTGCAGTATGAAGCGTCGCAGGGACCGAATTCATTTCCATTGTAACTTAAATCCATCTCATGTGGAATTTTGACAGCCATCTCCGCATAGGTCTGGAGGGAGCCGCTTGGTAGGAAAGCGATCATGCAAGAGGCAGCGGGGGGACATGTATAGTGTAAACACAGCAGAGACACTTCAAAACGGCATCAAAATTGTAAACTTCGTGCCAGTTCTCAGATCTCACTGTCAGGTTCAATTTCACAAAATGATGCCTCTGCCAAAAGCTGGCAGACATCGCCAGAGAATCATGGGCCTCATTAAATGATCATTGCCACCGCTCATTGCAATATTACTACAAAGCAATAAAGCAGAGCTCTAGTCCAAATCGGTTAATCCATGAAAAACAGGAAAATTAAAAGAGTGCAGGGGAAGTTTTGTTTTTTTGGTGTCTTTTTTTCTATTTTTTAAACTAAATCCCAAACCAACAGCTATATATAATACATGGATGAAATACATACAGTATGTGGGGGGCTAGTCTATCTGCCCAAGGGTTTGTCATTTCTGTCCACGATTCCTACAATTTACACAGCCCTGTCTGACTTGCTCTTCTCTGCCCATCTTGCTCTACTGCAGTTTGACTAATGCTGAACTCTAGACACAAACTTTCCATAAAATATAATCCTCATTGCCACAAAGGGTATCAGGATATCCACTGTGTGATCCAAATGCCTTTGCAACCCAGTTATTACCTTGTAAAATTAGCAGTGTTTTGTCTCTCCAATCTAAGCATTGATAGTGTGATCTCTGTAACTTACAGTTGTGATGAGATAGCGATAACTTCAACCTCAGTTGGATACCACAGTGAGTAGTTGTGGTTACCACAGTTGGATACCACAGTCAGTGGTTATGGCTGAATGTCAGCCATAACAGCAATTGGCTCTTGTCTGAAGTGAAGTAAAACTCCTATGAGATTGTTCAGATTAGGCCCAGTGAGAAGATTGTCATTGAGGGAGACACCTTCATGATGAGCACTTGAGTCAAAGACTCAAGACTCACTGACCACAGTCAGTGACTCAAATCAGAATGATATCTTGTAGATTTTGTGAAGTTTATTCCATAAACTTAGAGAAGCTTACAACAATGAACATTCGATAGGTCAAAAGATCATAATGTTTCCTGCTTCATGACATGGGAAGGGGGTGGGCTATCTATTCAGCATTAACTAAACACAAAGGAAAGGGAGGAGCAGAAACAAAATATAGAAACACTTAAAAGGCATATGACAGTTAATATGACAGTCATGTGAAACATGAAACTCCCCGTCGAAATCTACGATCTCTATTAGAATAAACTTTAGTTCAAGTCCAATATAAATAATGAAGATTCTTTCCAGGAACATGTGCAAAACAAGAGGGAAGGGAAGAACAAAGGAAAACAATGCAAACATTTAGCATAATACTTGGAGATGTTGGTCTCGAATGTCCAGGCTGAGATATGGAAATCTATATTCAGAGGGGAAGGCAGCAACATGCACTATTCCTTCTTACCTCCCTTTAAATCAGGTTGATGACTTGTCTTCCTCTTTGGGCAAAAGAAGTACTAGTTCCTTTATAGGCCTGAAGTAAAGGTGTGCAGAACCTTCTTTCATGGTGGATATAGCCAAGATGTGTCCCGAAATGCAGTAGTAGGTACTACACGACTGCCACTGGCAGCTGGGTTGAGGCTTGTGGGAATATAGTGGCATTCTTCAGGCATAGAGAAGACATGAATCTCTCTTCTGGTGGCATTCGTTAAGGATGCTTGGGTGTAAGAGCATGGTATCTGGAGTTGTTCTAATGCTTTTAGAGACTGTATCCAGGATTCCCACCTTTGTTGTTTCTCCTTGGGTAAGGGGTTATCCCAGTCTGAGCTTTCAGAAGTAAGTTGTCTCAGCAGTATCTTACCCTGAATGGTGAGAGGTGTAATGAAAGCCAACGGATCATAAATGCTGTTTACTGTAGACAATACTCCTCGCTTTGTGAAGGGCTTGTCACAGGCTGATACTTGAAATGTGAATGTGTCTTGTTTAACATTCCAAAGCCATCCAAGACTGCATTGTGTAACAGAAAGGTCAGATCCTAGTTGGAATTTCTTCACACTAACAGCATGGTCATCAGAAGGAAAGGCTATTATGACCCTGTCGCTGTTAGAGATGATTTTGTGAAGTCCGAGGTTTGCAGTGGCAAGCATGTTCTGGGTTCTAGTAAGAAGGTCAATAGCTTCTTCTTCATCGGGCAGAGATTTGAGTCCGTCGTCTACATAGAAATTCCTTTCGACAAACTGTCTTACATCAGATCCAAATTCTTTCTTACCCTCTTGAGCTGTTTTCCTCAGTCCATAAATTGCTACTGTAGGAGAACGACTGTTGTCGAAAACATGTACCTTCATTCGATAGTCTATGACTTCATCATTGACATCATTATTGCGGTACCATCGGAACCTGAGGAAGTTTCTGTAATCTTCACGGACAATGAAACAGTGGAACATCTGCTGAATGTCAGCCATAACAGCAATTGGCTCTTGTCTGAAGTGAAGTAAAACTCCTATGAGATTGTTCAGATTAGACCCAGTGAGAAGATTGTCATTGAGGGAGACACCTTCATGACGAGCACTTGAGTCAAAGACCACCCTAATCTGATCAGGCTTGCGAGGATGGTAGACACCAAAGCATGGTAGATACCAACATTCTTCTCCTACCTTAAAAGGAGGTGCAGGTTCAGCATGATCTCTTTCAAACACCTTCTGCATGAAGTCCACAAAGTACCTTTTCAGCTCAGGCTTCTGGTTCAAACTGTGATTTAAAGAAACAAACAGAGATTCTGCATGTACCCTGTTTGGTAGTCTCTTTCTTGGGGTACGAAATGGTAGAGGTGCTACCCAACTGTTGGAATCATCTTGGTAGAACTCTTTACTCATGGTTTTCAAAAATTCTTTGTCTTCTATGGTAGCTGCCAACTCATTGTCTTTAGTGGTTACTATCAAGGTCCTACCTTTCCTCCGACTTTGTGCTGCTCCCTGTGCTGGCATCCATCTTAGGTGTCTGCAAAGCATTGTGGGATCATTTATGCTTTCAGCCCTCTGTGGCTCCTCCCCCAGGAGGTGGCGGCTTATCACATATAAGTCTGCTGTTTGTGGCTGTCCATTGCATTCGTGTCCTGTCTCTTGCACAACAGGCAAGCTCCTGTTTAGTTACTCATTGCTTTCCTGGATACCGGCTCGGCTTTGGCTAAGACTCCTCCTGGCTTCTGACCCCGGCTCTGGCGACCATTCTTCCTGGCTCCTGATCTTGGCTCTGGCGACGATTCTTCCTGGCTCCTGATCCTGGCTCTGGCGACGATTCTTCCTGGCTCTTGACCCCAGCCTTGGCTACGATGTCCGCT